GGAAGAGGGCTAGATAATTTGTTTTTTAAAGGTTTGTTAACCACCTGAAAGGTGGAGATGTTCTTTAAATAATATCAGTGAGATCCCAAAGAGCTTTTAATTGGATTTTCATCACCTCTTATTTTATTTGACAGGGTTTTTTTTTGTATTTGTACAAATTTTTAGATGCATGCTTTGTGTAAATCCAGATCAAGTACATGTAACTCAAATAAAATTTTTTAACACAATATATATTTAATTACATTTCCAAAAATTGCTCCAGATCGACTGCACATGTATGTGGGAGGCAGACAGACACACATTCATACATGAACTGCCCCAGTCTGTATTTCTCTATCCTCATTATATAACTCCCCACTAACAGTACTGTTCTTCATGCAGACAGACAACACCTAATTCACCAGCATGGTGTTTCCATGGCGACTGGCCCACATTAATTTTCCAAGGTGAGTGGCCTTGTTGTGCTGGATTGTATGTTTTGCATGTGGCATGTCGAGATACATAAGGTGCGTGAGAGATTAAACACTTCACAACAGCCAGTGAAAAGTTGTCTTACCCATGAACTCAATCCCAAGTTCATCTGCTGCTCCATTTGAACGCAGTTAGCACAAGAACAGAGAGGGCATGGGTAAACGGGTAAACAGAGACAGGGAGGAGAGAGGGGAGGGGGTGAGAGAGGGGTATAAAACGGTTATAACTTGATGCATCTCTATAGTAACTTACTCAGAATTCACCTTAGGGAGAGACACACGCTGCAACTAGACCATAAAGTTGGTTTGACGGCTTTCTCTGACATGGCTCTCCCTTGTGCAGCAGGTAATGAGCCAACCAAGCCCTAGATGCTTGGTATGCTTTTCCATGATACACTATGAAATCACATAGCCTGCAGTGGCTTTAAATGAAGAAAGAAAACAACAAAAATATGGGGACTGAAAGGATTAAAGGAAGGATCACAAAAATAAAATCTGAAATGACATATCATATAGCTTTATGTCACTGGTGTTGCTTTGCGCAGACCTTTTATATTGATTTGAGCCTGAGGCATTGCAGTAATTGTACAACATCGCTTTTCAATATTCACAAGCTGTTTGGTTTAAAATGAGCCACACTGACACAACATTTCACATGCATGCACACCCAAGGGATACAATACATTACACTCTAGTCTGTATTTCTTTTTCTCTCACACACACACAGTCTTTCTCCATGTAGTTAAGTCTTTCCCCCTAAAGCCCAGTGCTAGGGAAACAGATAAAAGGAAGCACTCGTGCTCTTTCCATCCTGACAGTTTCCCCTTTTTCGTGTCACTGTAATGTAATCTCATTTAAATTAAAATGAAAACCTCATAGTAATTGCTTTTCTGACAGAGGTGGTCAGAGTTTTAAAGAGAAAGCAGTTTGCCAAGCCCCTGACAGATTATGTGGTGAGCACTCTAAAAAAAAGTAGTTAACACAAAAATAAATAAGGATAACAACAACAACAAAAAAACAAAACAAAAGAAACATGTGTTCCTGGATGCATTTTGATTGTGCCATGGGAAAATCTGTCAGTGCAACGGCTTTATAAGTTTGAGGAAAAATAAAAACTCTGCCGGGGACTAGAGGAAGACAAAAGATAAATGGACATTTGGATGAATGGATTATAATAAATCCACAGGGTTATCTCACTATATTTAAGGGTGTGATCTGAGGAAATAGTTCTTTTTAATGTGAAATTTGAAACAGTTAGCGGGCTTGCGGCATTTGGGGAAAGTTTCAGAGACCATTTAACCTACTAATGAAAGTAACTTACTGGATACAAAAAAAGGAAAAACAATCACCTTAAGCAAACTAATGAATTTACATATACATTTAAACTGGATGTAAGTGCTGTGCTATGTTTATTGGATGTAATGTAAATTCATCATTTATCTCTGTGGCCTTGTGGATTGATTAACAAATGTCAGCATTTCGTATGCACTGCAGTCATTCTCATAGCAACTCAAACTAATGATTAAAGCAGTTTAGAGACAATTTGGGCTTTTTGCATTGAAGTGGGTTGAGATCCGAGTGCATGATTAAGATAAGATCAAAACTTTTACTACTAGGTGCACAAACACTTGACAAGGCCAAAGAACCGAATGCAGCATCTTATTGATGTTGCCTGATCTGTATTATCCATTGTAGCCTTTCTGTGTGATTGCCGATGGCTGCAGCCAACACTCCACTCTAAATCACCCTGACTGTCACAGCCTGTGAAGATGATGTCATTACAACGCTGATACACATCCCTTCCTCTGGCTTCGCCTTGTCTGGAGACATTCACCAATCATAATATGTGCAGGCTCCCAATCCTTTGCACTGGCAAGTCAAAGCACCTCGGGGAATCATTTACGGCATCTTGTGGGAGCCTTAAGCAAGCTTGGAGAATACCTGTGCATCATGTCAGATGCTTTTGGTCTGATTAAATGGCAGGAATCTGGTGGTGTGGGAGAGACAATGGCAGGGGTGAATCAAATCCTTAATCTCCTCCTTCACTTGGGTGAGCAGGGAATTAAGGAGCCAATGTGTCTGCATGTATCTGTGTGTGTGTTACTGAACCAAATATCCTGTGTAGTTACTTCAGGCCTAATATCTGCAGTAGATAAACAGTTCAAATTAGAGGCTTGCTTTCTTCCACTTTGTAAATCCGCTGGGTAAAACCAAAAGCTGGCACTCCTCCCTCTCCTCCCCCTTCAATCTCCCACCAAACATCACCTCTGTAGTCTCATCGGCCCAACTGAACCTCATTAGTAGCATGCCCTAAACTCCTTCACGATTAAGGAAGAAACTCATTCCAGTTCTTTACCTTATAAACTAATTGCATCCTTCCTACGTTCCCATTCCTCCAATTAAACACCCCTCCACTTCCCCACTGTGCAAGTATGTAAGACCCCAGCACCTTCTCCCCACCTCATTTCCAACACTGACTCACAGCAGGATTGTGTAGCTGTACGTGTCAGCAAGCCTTTGTCCCTGGACTTTTAAAATGTGCATGAGAGTCGTTGCTTCTTTTTCTACCTCTGTAAGCACTGTGTGCCAGCCAATCCAAGCTGCTCATTTGAATGGTTGCTTTGTCATCAGTCAAAACCAACACAAAGGACGAGGGACGATGGATGATTAGTGACTGTGAGGTGCACAGAGATTGATTTAAGAAAAAGAATAAAATCCAAATCCAAAAGAGTGCATGGTAGATGAAACATCTCACCCCAGGGTGTCATTTGTGTCTAGTGCTGCCATGTCATTGTATGAAGAAGTAAACTGCATGCAAACATGCACACACACACGCATACACCAGTGATCTGAATTTCACTGGAGCTGGTCCCAGTGTGTGCATGTATGTGTGTATGTTATTACATGATATGGCTTTTGAAATCAGGATAATCCTCAAAACCCTTGGCAATCTGGGTAAATTTCAGATTACTCTGTATCAACAGAGATCAAAATAGGTTTCATTTCTCTCTCATATCTTCCAGGATACATTTGTTATTTATGGTGGTTCAAGTCTCAATTGTAATTATTTATTTTTTTCTGAGGTTAGAGATGAGCTCATTGCACAAATTTACCTTTTTAACAAGTATTTTATGGATACTGTATATTTTTATGCCACTTATCACCCATCATCCATTTAATGTGCTCACTTATTTATAGGAATACTTCTATTCACTTAATATAAAGTAACAAAGAGATTAATCATATACCATGAACTAACAGGACCAGAGTTGGGCATGTGTCCAAGAGCACATGGTTGAACTTTTCATAAAGGTGAAAAGCAGATGCATGTACAACAGTGGTGTTTGGCCTGAAAGCTGCCAAATCCTTCTAATAGATGAAGGAAAAAGCTTATGTAATTATAATAAAAGATAGCCTATCCGTACTTTTCATGAGCTTTTTCTATTCATAACAGGTCTGGCAAGGCTGTACCTGAGATCATATTATACCCATGCAGGCTACTGTATGTACATATGTGGACTATAAGGTGTGGAAAGTATGAGTGGTTGGGGATGATTCTGGACCACAAGAGTTCACTGTGGAGCCTTCTGGAAACGTCCGGACAGTTTGAGGATAAGGCTGGTCGTTTTCTACATTAATAGTATTGTCAGCCATCTCCATACAGATACTTAAACCGACAATGAATTGCCTCTACTCACGGTTAATGTCTGTCAGCTGTGAGTCCTGGATGATAGTAGCTTGTTCACCTGTGTGATAGATTTGATATATTTGCACTACTGCTGCACGATCGCCATTGTTGTTCAAAAATAGTTAAAAACACATCAGGGAAACGCACCACTGCACCGGGTCACACACTGTTTTCATAACAAAACCCCAGACACAACTATGTTGCCCCAAAGGCTCCGAGCAGTCATAATTTCCTGCAGTAGGAGTCAAAGTCAACTGCACATGTGTGAGATCTTGCGTGAGGTCTGAGCTTTGTTTATAATCCGATAGCTCCTCACACCTCGGTCTGGTGTTTGCTAAAAAGCTGGAAATCACTGCCTTAAACTACTCAGGCTACAATACATGATCACAGTGAAGTGCAGCCATAGTGCAAATACAGCTTTGTGTTTCCACATGCTGATCAAACTGCTTTATAGTCTTACCTTAATCTACTGTTAAACACGCATGGCCCTGAAACACAGTTTTCATCCTCTGAAAGGCTTATTGTGTTTAATCCACTGACAAAATCCATCCATTTAGAGCCGTGCTATATTTTGAAATTATGAATTCATTGTGTTTTCCTCAAAAACATTTTTCCCACTAATACATTAAACAAACTCTCCTTTATATTTTGTCTTCTGAGGTTTATTTTCTTATAAAAACAATAGTTAGTAAATTAAAATGTACCATAAATGTGGTGTAATTGATATCTTTTGTTGAGTGTCAGTTTTGGGGCAAAAGATTCATCTTATGTCAAGGAGAAACAAAAAAAAAATCCAGATGTGGATAAACAGGAAATTTGATGTGTGTCTATAGAAGATAAAATAAATCCTATTGTGAAAAGTTGGTGCCATGAGGGAGCATGAAACATGCTTTGTGACATTGGCTTGTGACCCCATTAATGAACTGTCAGTGGGACTGGTGACATCAAACAGAAGGCGACTGGAGTTGGGTTTTCCCTCCAACTCTTGCTGTAGAGGAACCAAGACACTCCACAAAACAGTATGAATTTGTAAAGCTGTAGTTTCATGGCAAAAAGCTCGGGGCCTCCAATTTCTCTGTTCCTTGTACCTCTGACTTTTCCTTTATTTTTTAACCACAGTACAAAGCTTTCATGGGGATTTAAAGACTTCAGGGGGATTATTTTTTATGAACAATAAGAAACTGAAGACTTTCATTCCTTTTAGCTAGACTGAACCCAGGCAAGGTTAAAGACCATAATAAAAGCTATAGGTTTTATGCACAGTTTAATTCTAATATCTGCATAGTAGCACCTACAGTGCTGTGTATAAGGCCAAGACATACTGTCTCATGAACTGTATTTTGATGCATAGTAACCAAAACATTTTTAAAATAGTTTTAATAGTTGCTCATATTGATATAAATAAAAAAAAAGTCTCCAAATTATGACACTGTTGTATTAATCAATGTATAGTTGCCTGTTATGAAAAAAATGGACAAAAATGGAAATACTGAGTAATATAGTAATATCATATATAGTAATATAATAATAATATAGCAACTAATAATCTATGGTCTGTAACATAACCTCTTATACTATATATTGGAACTATTTACAGTAGCTGTATTGTATGTTCTTATTTTAGGTTTGAAAAATCTATTTTTAATATTCAATATAACCAAAAACCAAGCAGCATTACAACATTTAAATGAACCTGATGAACATTTTTATCTCATAGTTTGCAAATGTAAATTGCATTTAGCAAAGAATGATAAATTCTGCCATATAAGCACTGGGATTATAAAAATGCATCAATACTTTCTAATAAAAAACAGACAGAGAAAAAAATAGCTTACTTGGGTCAGACAGGATAGCATCCGTCTTGGGAACAAACTGGTCACACCGTAGTCCATGGTAGCCTTCCTTACACCTATAAGAGAGAGGAAAAAAAGAGACAGCAAGAAAGATTTGAGATGAGGAGAAAGACAAACCAAGCAAAAAATACCAAATTACAGCATGGGCTATCGGGTGAACAGACTTTTAGATAAGGAAAGTTGAGAACAGGAAACTTCAACAGAGAGTGGACAGTAAAGAGTGGAGTGCACACTGAGGACTGAGTGGCGGAGGGAGATACCCAGAAACTGTCGAGAGAGGTGGGGTGAGAAGAAAGAGAGGAAAGGGAAGATAGTTGTGCAGGGTGCCTGCAGCTCCGCTGATAGCACATGACTGAGAGGAATGCCAGGTCCCAGTGGAAGAAATGGGGTACTGGGATGAAGTATACTTGGTGTGATGCAGATGACACAAGATCTACAGTGGAAGGGAAGCTGCCATAGATGGAAACACTCACATGAACAAAGTCCGAGCATGGTATTTGAATCCTTCATTAAATATATCCCTGCAGTGTTAATGGCTACAGACCTCCAACAGTTGATATAGGCACTTTAATTATGACAGCTGAAATCTGCTCTTTATATGTTGCAAAATTATAGGAATATTCTTTAACACAGAAGAATTCTGTGTGGTTGCTATACATTATAATAAACATATAATTCTTGTTAATTATTAGGCATTTTTCTAATCCTGTGCTGTCATTTTCTATATTAACAGTATTTTGAACACTCCCTATACAGAGAACTGAACTGTGAACAGAATTGAATCTCCTCTACTCACTGTTCAAGTTTGTCAATCCGCCATTCCTGGATTAGTTTATTTGGATTATTTGGAGTTATTCCTCAGGATTCAGCCAGTCACAATCCACAAATAGCTTTTTCTCTCTAAAAGGACTTCCATATTTTGTATGTATAACTTCAATAGTTGCCATATTATTGCCAACTGTGAGCGCATTCAGTGGGTTGTTCCATCCTCTATCCTCCTTCACGGCTTAGGGGAGACAGCTGGGGGAACTTGCTTTGATGTGTCTGTGTCAACATAAACGTTCACATGATCGAGTGGTGTGTCTGAACTGTCTGTATTTTCTCTGTCCCATCAGTTGATGACATACTGTTGGAAAACTGGGGGGATTAATTCTCAGAAATTGCCCATCAGTATCTGTCCACCACATTCCCACCAGTGTCATAGATCCCACACTCAGTATAATGTACTGGTTGAGTCACAAACAGAAGTGGACCATTCAGTCTTAATGAGCTTGTTTTGACCGAATAGCTTGAAGAAAACAACACAGCCAACAACAAGTGAGTTATGTAAAACAAACTGAGCAGCAGCAGCAGATATCACAAGTTGTTGGTTAAGGCTGGGATCAGAGTGAAAACTGTGACAGATTGTCATCTTTTTGCATCTTAAGGTGCAGTTTCAGCTCCATTTGCTCAGTGTGTTTCACCTCATTATATGCAGTTTGTTTTCTTTTCTGTTTACTCTATAATGCAGTATGGAACTGCAGAATTGATGAAAATAAATAGGATATGTGGTCCTCTAATTTCACGCCGACTCAAAGCTGATGGCAGCACTAATGCAGCTGCATCATCATTTTCATCAGGCGTCTGTTGTTGTTGTTTTTTTTTTTCCAGTTTATGTCTGTTTGATGATTTTGTTTGCTCCATAGAACCCTGCTCCTGCTATGGTGAGAAGACCATATGTGAGGCTGCATCTTGCAGACTAAAGGATGCAGTTTTTACACCGACCACCTTTTAGCACAAGATTCAAAAATAAAAAATAATTGCCTGCTGCAGTTAGAAACAAATGCACATGAAAGTGGAGAAAGTGAACCAAAAACAGTAAAGTTGGACAGGAGGAATTGCAGTCAGGTATTAATTCCCTGCAGCCTCTTCACGGCAAGCTATCATTTTCACATTACACATAGTCATTTGACGGATTGTTATAATAAATATACTGATTAAAGTGCAACTGAAAAATGTAAGAAACATGTTAAATGATGGGTTTCCTAGAACGTGAGCTTGAAAAACCTCAGTACCATTTTTAGTGATCAGCACTGCTGTCTAGCTGCAGGGTGTGATCGTTGAAATGGTCATTTTATGTTATGCGGCATTAAAAATCTCTCTAAGCGTACCTTTAAACACTGGGACTCATTACTGTTCAACTGATGCGGGAACAACACCCTTGAATTAAACACTAAATCTTAAACCTCAAAATCTCTGTGGCATTTCATTTAAAAAGTAATAACCAAAACACACAAAACCTCTATAATTCTCTGCTCAGACAACTAAGGGAGGAGATAAGGAACTGATTCTTTCCTGTCATTGTCACTCCCACAGCCAGACTTCCACATCTTAATCAGCCTAAAAAATGACTAATACAATACTCCAGTATTCTCCAAACTCACTCTTGACTCTGCACACATACATAAGATTATGCTGTGTTATGATGTTCTACAGAGCAGAACACAGAGCTACCAATGGAGTCTACTTCAGTTGAATCCTGATATGACAATATCAGATAACATTTCCATATTAAGATATAATAATCACATATTGCCCAGGTCTTAACCGCTGTGCATTTCTGAGCCACTACTGGCTTAATGAATTGTTTACATAATACAGTATCTAGTATAATAACAATTTACATGCTGAATAGAATCAGCTGGATCCTTCATGATGCACTCAGTATGCATTTTGGCAAAAAAAAAGAAAAGCTGCCATCAACAACAACAACAACAGCAACGACAGTTCAAAGTCAATGTGATTTAAGCATTTAGGTGACAGAGTCTGCATGTTCTCCCTGTGCCTGTGTGGGTTCTCTAAGGCTTGCTTCCACAGTCCAAAGACATGCAGCTTAGGTTGAGTGGTGACTATGAGTATTGCCCATAGGAGTGCGTGTGGTTGTTTAAGTGTCAGCCCTGTGATAGACTGTCGACCTGTCCAGTGTGTACACCGCCTCTCGCCCAATGGCAGCTGGGATTGGCTCCAGCCTCCCCGTGACCCTATTCAGGAATAAGGGGTATAGATAATGGATGGATGGATTTTTAACTAACTTTAACTTAAGATCATTGCAAATAATATAAAATATGACATGTTGGACATAAATGAAACTCATATTATCAGCTGATAAATTAAATTTTATGTTAAGCAACCCACACACTTGATTTTACTGTTGATAATTAACAAATCCTTGGCTGATCTCATGTGATTATTATAATCTGATTATCAGTCAACCAATCAACAGTATGTTCCCATGAGATCAGCCAAGCAATTAAACAGAATGCACTTTATTTTACAGTATGATATCGTACCTTTCTGTGTAGGCGTTTGTGTCCCACCCAAGATTTTCACTGGCCTCATCCGGCCCCCTAGCTAAATATTTTTGCAGGCACCACCAAGTATTGACATATATGTTGATTTTTGAACAATAAAACTGCATGTTTGCATACATTTTTGTTAGAAGAGTTATTTAACAGATACATACACTGTGCATGTTCTTAGTTGAACACTGAATCCTTCATTACTGCAGATACAAGACACCTGCACTGTCCCTTTTTTGTCAGAATGCCGTTCTAAGTCAAACAGCCTATGATGTACCACAAACTTCAGAGGAGCACCCCAGGCGGCCAGTCAGATTTCAAGGGTAAATCACCCCTCCCCTCCCATCACTTGGCTCTGCAATACTACTGCCTTCTCTCCCTGGGTGTGAGCTGAGATGCCTTGTTAGTATTCTGAATCACAAACCCCACAGCAGAATCCCTGTCTGACTATCTGTTTACGTCTGGATCTGCTTTCTTTTTGTCTGTTCTTCCATCTCTCCACTCTTAGCACCTTTGTAGCACTGAGAAACAAGCTCAGCCATGCCTCAGTAAGATGCAAACAATGCTTTGTAAATGTGTTCGTGTGAACATGGCATCGAATGCCTGAAAGGATGACAAACAATGTGAGATAATGACGCGCTTTGAGTATGTGTTTGGGTGTGGATCTCCAGTGAGGGACACGGGAAAACAAGAGCTGGTATTTATGCATGTGTGTGTCAGTGTGTTTCAAAAGGGTGAAATATCTCAAAGTGAACTCAGTTGTGTGTGTATGTGTGTGAATTTGTGCACACATGACGGCTTTCTCTCGTGTGTGTGTTTATATCCTGCAGCCACTGTGTGTATGAACAGCAGCGGCAGCAGCTATAGACTCACTGCATGTTTCCCCCCACTGCTCTGGAGCTGTCTGTGACTACCAGCTGCTTTCAACACATGCTCCAGTCATAGAGGAAACACACCTCTGAATCTGGAGGATGATGAAGGGGTGGGGAGCACTGCTTCATAACTGATCCTGCTGTTAATTAGCGTGAGAAATGGAAGATGGCTTGTGTGCAAGGGGAGGGAAAAAAGGTTCAAGTAGGAGAGAAGGGACAGGGATGTCATCATGTCAGCCAAACTTTTCATTTACCTTCTGACTCTCATGAATATTAGCTTCCACATGTCCTGTAAAACTGATGAGGCAGAGGGGAAATGCCATAGTCTACTGGAACTAAGAATTGCTTACTGACTAAATCAGACATGTAATTTATGTTTGAATGCACATCACCTGGTTATCATTTATTATTTTAACAAGATAAATTGTGAAATAGAGTTAAAAAGGGGGTTATTTCCTCACTTTGTGAGCATCTGTTGACAACCAGTTGCAATGAAATGGGAAAATCTGTTGCATAGCTTATTAGCCAATTAGTGAGCCTTAGAATTGCTGTTATGCAGATTGCGTTCCCTTTTCACAGAGCCAAACTAGCAGATTCCAGTCATTATGCTAAGCTAACCAGCTCCTGGCTGTAGCTTCATAGTTACTATACAGACATGAGAGGTGCATCATCTTCTTATCTAACTCTGGGCAAGAAAGAAAATAAGCACTTGCTCCAAAATGTCAAATTATTCTTTTACGTATTCAGCACATAACAGTGGGGTGCAAGATGCTAGCAGGCAGGGCATACATGGAACGCCATAACCAAGTGGTTGGCATAGTGTACAGAAACATCTGTGCTGAGAAC